AGACTTTGGGACAACTTCAAATGTACTAACATTCATGTAATGGGGGTGCCAGAGGAGAAGAGAAAGAACAAGGCATTGAAAATCTATATATAAAAAAAAAATGATGGAGAAGGGGGGTGGGAGTGGGAAGGAGGGAGTAAATGGGAAAAAGAACATCTGTAATACATTTAACAATAAAGATAGGTTTAAAAAATAATAATAATGCCCTGGCCGGTTCAGCTCAGCGGTTAGAGCTTTGACCTGCGGTCCGGAGAGACCCGAGTTCGGTTTCTGCTAGGGGCACGTACCTCGGTTGCAGTTTGTCGCCAGCCCTGGTTGGGTCGTGCAGGTGGCAACCACTCAATATGTTCCCGTCACATTGATGTTTCTCTCTCTCTCTCTTCCTTGCTCTCCCTCCCACTCTATCTGAACAAAAAATGGGAAAAAATGTCCTTGGGTGAGGATAAAAAAACAAAAACAAAAAGAAAAAAAAATAATAATGAATGAAAATTTCCCTAACCTGGTAAAGAAAACAGACATTTAGGAGCTCCCATAAGACTGTCAGATGATTTCTCAACAGAAACATTTCAGGCCAGAAGGGATTGGCATAAAATATTCAAAGTGATGAAAAGCAAAGACCTATAGTCAAGATGACTCTACCTAGCAAAGCTATCATTTAGAATTGAAGGACAGATAAAGAGCTTCCCAGACAAGAAGAAGCTAAAGGAGTTCATCACCACCAAACTAGTATTACAAGAAATGTTAAAGTGTCTTCTTAAGAAGAAAAATAAAAAATATGAATAATAAAATGGCAATAAATACATATCAACAATTGAATCTAAAAACAACAAAACCCCAAAATAAATGAACAAGCAAAACAGAAACATACAGATACAGAGAACATTTTGATGGTTGTCAGATGGGAAGGGGGTTGGAGGAATGGGTGAAAAAGGTGAAGGGATTAAGAAGTACAAATTGGTAGTAATTACAGAATAGTCATGGGTATGTAAAGTTCAGCATAGGGAGTATAGTCAATAATATAATAACTATACATGGTGTCAGATGGGTACGAGATTTATCAGGATAACCTCTTAGTAAGTTATATAATGTCTAATCACTGAAACTAATATAATAATGTATTTCAAATGTAACTGAAAAAAATTATTAAAGTAAAAAAATATATATGTATATATATTTTCTGAATAATTACTATATTACCTAGTTCTTTTCTATAGAAGGGAGAAAGGAAAAAGAGAAGTAAAGGGAAAAGAAAACCCTACTACTACTTCCACCTACATAATTTCTCACTGTCTTAAAACAAGGATTGTTGCCCGGCTGATGTTGCTCAGTGGTTGAGCGTTGACCCATGCACCAAGAGGTCACTGGTTCGATTCCTGGTCAGGGCATATACCCAGGTTGTGGGCCTGATCCCCAATGGGAGGTGGCCAATCAATGTTCTTTCTCACCAATGTTTCTCTCTCTCTCCCCCTTCTCTCTCTAAAAATCAATAAAGAAATATTTTTAAAAAAACAAAGATTGTTAAATATGGTAAGGGCATTTCCTCCCACCCCCTTTCTAAATCTTTACGTGCAAGTGTTTTTTCTTTGTTCATGCTAAAGGTAAGGACATGCATTTAGAATCAATTTCTACCCATTGATAGCCTAAAGGCAGAGCATTATGCATTTTGTGGACAGATAATGTATATGTACATCTGTTTCACATATGTATACAGACCTAATGAAAGACGTTATGAGGGCATTATTCTGACAGTTTCTAAGCTGACAAAAACTGTGTTTTATTTTCTCCAAATAAAAACTACCTTTTATTTTTCCTTGAGTATATGTTAAAAAAAAATCTATATTGAAATCCTATTTATCTAACAGACTAATAAAAAAAAAATCCAAAAGTTTGATAACATACTCTCCTGATGAAGCTGTGCTGCAAACTGTAATTTACACACATTGCTGGCTGGTTTGCAAAATGCTAACACTCCCAATATATGACCAAAGCTAGCAAAATTACAAAATTACTTATGAATTTATCATTAGACCTAAGAATCCAACTTCTGGGAATATATCCTAAAATAAGATTTATGCCCATGACTATTCATTACAGCACTATTTGTAATAGCAAAGATTGCAAACTACTCAGGAATGTATCAATTAGGAAAGTCATTGAATATATATGGTTCTAGTTGAATATATTATTGGTAAATCTACACAAAACAAGACCATATTACCCAGCTCTATTCATAGATCAGGTTATAAAAAAAATATAACTCAATAACAATTAGCACCACAAACATTCATATTATGGTCTTTAAATACCATTTCCCATTAAAGGAACCCTGAATAAATGGTTTATTATAGGTATGGGGTAAGAAATGTACAAAATCAACCTTGAAAGCAATCAAAGACTTTTATGGCCATGTGAAAGGACTCAGAAACTAATGTGAATACACTGTTATTGGCCTAAGATAACAAAAACTTGAGCACCAATAATGACAATAACTGTAATGGACTCACAAAACACATTTAAATCCCCAGATTCATAATGATAGTATTCACTTTTAGGGTTTTTATCTACTAGTAATGTTTTTGTTGTTGTTGTTATCCTCGAGGACATTTTTGCTTTTTGCATCTATCTTCAGATAGAGAGGGAGGAAGAGCAGGGGGAAGAGAGAGAGAAACATCGACGTGAGAGAGACACATTGACTGACTGCCACCCACACGACCCCAACCGAGGCTGGGGACAAACTGCAACGGAGGTATATGCCCTTAGCAGGAACTGAACCCAGAACTCTCTGGTCCGCAGGCCGATGCTCTAACCACTGTGCAAAACCGGCCAGGGCATGTTTTTAATAGTTTAGGTCAAGATCTAACTTTTCTGTTAAAATAACCATTCATTCAGCATTACTTATTGACAAGTTAATCCCCTTCTCACTAATAACCAATGTCATATATCAAAGTAATATATGTAATACATGAATGAATATATATTCAATATCTATATCGTTACATCTATATATTTATAGATGTAGTTATATATATATATATATATGTATATATATATATGTTTTAGGGGGCCTCCTTATCTTGTTTCTTTGTTTATTTGTCCATTCTTGTGCTAATAAAATACTGTCTTAATTACTGTGCCTTTACTGTACAATGTATTATCTGGTGGACAAATTCCATCAATCTTACTTTCTTCCTAAAAATTGTCTTTAATCCTGTAAATACTTGTTCTACTTAAATGTGAAAAATATTCGGATGGCAACCTCAGCAGAAATATACACCTTTAAAAAAAAAAATCAGCAGGAAGTCTACTCTGAAAATACAAAAAGTCTAACTGAATAAATGTAACACTAAACTACAAGGTTATACAAGATTAACGTTACAAAGTATTATTTATTACACATGAATGTTATTGCATACATTTTGGGAAAGCTATATAAGGCTTTTGAGTTTTTGAAATTGAACTTTCCCCTGTATTGAAGTATATTGGTCAGGACAAGAACTGAAAAAGAGAAATAACCTTGAATTCAGAATGAACAATTCTTGCTATATATATTTTCCCACATATATAAGGAAGGTTCTACAACTTTCCGAGAAATAGTGACATGAACTAAATACTGAACTACTACCAAAACTCATGTGCATATTTGGAAGTTTTTAGTTAGTCATTGGCGGCCATGGCATTTTTCTCTGTATCACAATATGTCACAAATACTTTCTTTTTACTATGAACATTGGAACAGAAAACCTCCTGTTCTGTGACTGACTGGCAGGCGGAAATGACAGGGGCAGGAAATGGGAAATGGTTCAGGGTCTTGGAATTTCCGGTCGCCCAATTAAGCGGGTTGTTATTTGAGTTTTTGAAATGTCTGCCCCTGGAGTTCCCCTGAAAGACGAGGGCACCTGATTTCACCAACAGAGTATCCTCACTGAACATAAATTAAGAAATTTGCCCGCTGCAATACAACAAACATTTACTGCATGACATTGCGTTTGTGGCATTACTGGGGGAGGGGGGGAGAGGGAGAGACAAAATGTCCATGACTGTCAACACCAAGATTTCTTATTTGCAATCTTCTATCAGTTAACTATTTAAATCTTCAATAAGTGGGCTCCTTTGTGGTTCATACGCGATCTTATAATATACACACATACGTGAATATATACATTCCATTTTGGTCACATTCATAAAAAAAATTGGGAGTAAAGCTTGGCCTGAAATACTGTTCACGTTGCTAGCGACGAGCTTTTGAAATGACATGTTTTCATTAGTGCATATATCTCCAGAACAGAAAACCAAAATTTTAAAAATCAATAAAAATTTAAAAGCAAAAGATACGCCGATTAATTATAAACTAGATATAATTATAATGTAATCCCCCAAAATGATAAAACCCAGCCTTTAAATTGAATCTGACGCTGTTCTTTCTAACACTTCCGCTTCCTTCCATCTCCAAGGCCAGCTGTTGAAGTCGACCGTGCGCGGCTCGGCTCGCAGGAAAAACGGTTACAGCTATTTAAACCAGTTACAATTGTTTGCTTAATTGAAGCAAAAATGCCACCACAGTGACTATTCTCAGAAGCAGTCGAGGTATCTGGCCAGGAGCTGGATCAAATAACTTTGAGGTGACGCGATGAAAAGGCGCAAAACCGCGCGCGCAGGGGCGTTCCCACAGGGTTTCCCAAGATTCAAACTCTGCGGCTCACGGGGTGCCACGTCCCCCTCCGGAGAATGTTAGGGACAGAGAGAGAAGGAAACGTCAAAAGTGCTCAGACCGCGAGATTTGAAATCGAAACACCAGGGTGAAGTGCAAGATGCCGCCTCCTCCCGCCCGCTGACCCACTGACCGCAGGGGAACAAACCCTGAGTCCAGCTCTCCGACCGCAGACTCGCCGGCGCCCCTGCACGGCGTTGACGCGGTCCCGGCGGGCGCGCTGACGTCACCGTGCGTCAGTGTGGGCCCTGCGAGGGCGGGGGGCTTTGGGAGCGCGGGGCCGGAGCTGCCGGGTGCAACTCGCCTGGGCGCCGGGGCTCCTGGGAGTGAGGAGGCCGCGGACCGCCGCGCCGTCCCCGAGTGTGCCGCGCCCGCACTGAGGTGAGTGCGCTCCTTCCGGCCCCGACCGCGCGACGCCGTTGGGCGCGCGGGCCTGCGGGGCCCACCTCCCCGAAGCTGCGGCGGGCCAGGGCAGACGGGGCCTGGCGCTCGAGCGTCCAGTGAGCTCTGCTCTCGTCTGGGCTTTTATTTAATTGGGAAGCTCCGACGCCAAGACCTGCAGTCGAAAGTCATTTTTAAAAAATTGACCAGTTTGCTTGCCTGCTCCGGCCGCCGCCCACTTTTCCGGCCCTTAGACTTTGACCAAAGATGATGTCTCTTAGAGCGTTTGCAGGGTTTTAGCTTTAACCCTCGGTGTTCTTTTTAATTTGTGGAAACCGAGCTAGTTCTGTGGCGGCGAGATGATTGATTTCAGATCGTTTCTGCTGCACCCGCCGCTTGGGTAGTGTTTTGTGTGCTGTGAGGAAAAACCCCGGGCAATTAATGGGAAAATCCTATGGTTGCCCTTCTTTTGTCTTCCAGTCTATCCCCCCACCCAGCTGTAAGGAGGGCAGAATTCACAGTACGGTGCTGTGGATAAAGTTTATAGTTTAAGGATGTGATGTCAAGTCCCGGCGTAACGGAAGCCTTCCTGCAAGTGGCCACGTCCCAGGCCGGTGCTTCACGGGTCATTGCGCTACGTTTTGTTTTCGAGGTGCTGTCTGTTGGAATTGGGAGGGAACTGTGGAGTTGAAGGGTTTATGTTAGTGAGTGTCATGCATTTTGCCCTGACTGCTCAGTTTGCTGGAGAGACTTGACATTAAAAAATAACATTATTGTTTACTGTTCTGTTGCTGATGGGGCGTATGTGGTCAGTCTCTCTCTCTCGCCGCTGTCTCCTTTTGCCAGCGATATTCTTTAACTATTAAAAGTTGTTACCAGAAAAGTGGAGGAGACCAAGGACAAAATATTTTCCTATAAGGAAATGTCCCTCTGTTTTAAAATTTGCATGTTTATATATATATAAACTTAGTTGCTAAGGGGGCTGTCTTGCATTTACTTTAATTAAGGCTTTATCCAACAGAAAGTTTTGTGACAAATTGCTGGAAGTAAGATATATTTCCTAAAGTGTAAATCATTTTTAGACTTTATTGAATAATTGAATAGTGTATAAATGCTCTTTACTGTGAAAACAGTTTTCTAAAATAGCTTTTTTTTTCTCCCCCAGATTTACAGCTCTGAAGAGACTGCTTTTCCCCCCTCTTTTTTCCTGCTGCAGTATAAATTCTATTATGGAGACCCAGACATTTTATAAAGGGATATAGCTTGAATTCTGTGGAATGTAATTTTGTGTATGAATTATATTTTTAAAGTATAAAGGTTTTCAGAAAGAAGGCTAGAACGGTTAATTACTGGTACATTCTGTATAAGCAGTAATTCTGTTGGTAATACAGTATTTTATTAGGCATTTGTGGTAGAAAGAACAAGCTGTATCTTGATAAATTGATTTATCTTTAATTACAAAATAAATGATATTATAGCTGCATGATCCTTAAATGAAAGACAGGTTAATTTTTAAATGCAGTGTAGAAAGTTTCTGCTGTGGAAATTTTATGATTAACTAGTTAAGTTAATGGAGAAAATACCTTCAGTTGATCAAGTATAATGAAGTGGTATGCAAAGTTAGGAAGAAAGACAACATAGTGATGCTGCAGGAAGTGGAAATGTATATAGGCAATAATTAACAAAGGTGGAAAAATTAGTAGTTTGTGAGCTTTAATTGAAATTCATTTCATTTGACATCATACACAGTATAAGAGGCGTAGGTTCAACAAAGTGTGTGGGTGTTGATGTCCCCAAAAGTTATCTGAAACTAATATAAGCCATTTAAATAAATACTATGATAATAAATTGTATAAATTAGACGTTAGATAATGTGACCATATGAAGACTTTAATTCTTGTTTACTAGACTAAAACAAGATTTTTTTGTAATCATATTAAAGTGCTTGTAGAGAAAGAAGCCTACATATAGTTTTTTTCCTCTTGTAGCATAATCAATAATTTGCTTGATCCCTAGGCTTTGTAGCTTGTAACCAAAAGCAAATTAAAGGTATAATTTAGTTATTCTATAGTTGTTTAGAACTTTGGGAATATAAACCTCCTTGAGAAGGCCAGTAGTTTTAAACATTTCCAGAAGTGTGTCAACTTGTTTCGGGTCTTTATGTTAGTATTACACCAAATAATGACCTAATAGCACCTGAATTACCTAAAAGAGTTAATATAATCCCAAAGAGTACTACAGAGTATTTTGGTAATTTAGAAGAGCTATTCATCCTACCTGAGTGTAAATTCAGGTGTAAATCCAATAAAGTAGGTGTAGTGAATTTTAAGTAGGAGCCTATCATTTGATTATTTTTTATAGTAAAAATATAATTTATTATGAAGAGATGAGAAATTTCATGTGAAAGTTTTTACTCATCAAAAGGTAAAATCACTAATGCACAAAACTGCCTCCCAACAACTAGTCCGAGATCCCTCATATCAAAAAAGAGTATAATGGAAGATAGCACCATCTTGTCAAATTGGACAATTGACAACAAACACAAAATGAAATATGACTTTTCATGTGAACTCTACAGAATGTCTACGTATTCGACTTTCCCCACTGGTGTTCCTGTGTCAGAAAGAAGTCTTGCTCGTGCTGGTTTTTATTACACTGGTGTGAATGACAAGGTCAAATGCTTCTGTTGTGGCCTGATGCTGGATAACTGGAAACAAGGAGACAATCCCATTGAAAAACATAAACAGCTCTATCCTAGCTGTAGCTTTATTCGGAATCTGGTTTCTGTTACTAGTTTGGAATCCACCTTTAAGAATACTTCTCCGATGAGAAACAGTTTTACACATTCATTATCTCCCACTTTGGAACAAAGTGGCTCATTCAGTGGTTCTTATCCCAACCTTGCACCAAATCCTGCTAATTCTAGAGCAGTTGAAGACGTCTCCCCATTGAGGACTAACCCCTACAGTTATGCAATGAGCACTGAACAAGCCAGATTTCTTACCTACCATCTGTGGCCATTAACCTTTTTGTCACCATCAGAATTGGCAAGGGCTGGTTTTTATTACATAGGACCTGGAGATAGGGTAGCCTGCTTTGCTTGTGGTGGGAAACTAAGTAACTGGGAACCAAAGGATGATGCTATGTCAGAACACCGGAGACATTTCCCCAACTGTCCATTTTTGGAAAATTCTCTAGAAACACTGAGGTTTAGCATTTCAAATTTGAGCATGCAGACACATGCAGCCCGACTGAGAACATTTATGTATTGGCCATCTAGTGTTCCAGTTCAACCTGAGCATCTTGCAAGTGCTGGTTTCTATTATGTGGGTAAGATACTAACATAGCTCTACATTTTATCTAGTTCATTTTGATTGACATATTAGCACATCTGTGTATTCAATTTTATTCTTTTGTTTTCTTAAGGACGCAATGATGATGTTAAATGCTTTTGTTGTGATGGTGGCTTAAGGTGTTGGGAATCTGGAGATGACCCATGGGTAGAACATGCCAAATGGTTTCCAAGGTAATTGTTTTTAAAGGTATTCCTACATGAACTGCTTAGAGAAGTAAGCATCCTTGCATGGTTAAGTTTACATCTCAATATAACAAGGCTTCTCATGCTATTGGGGAATTAGCCATTTAAACTACCAATTTGAACTTTAATTATTTTGATTGAAAGTGTTGTAGAATGTTCTGTGCACTTTTATAAGCCATATATTCAGGAATTATAATTGATGACTCATGTACAATTATGGCCATACATTTCACTTATATATTTTTCATTTTGCTTTAAAGGGGACTTAAGGGTTTTAAAGATATGTAAAATAGAACAAAAAGAACCTAAGTTCAAAAAAGGGAAAAGGAAAATGGGAAGTGACATAAAATGGATCTACAAACAAGATAATTCATAATAAGAAAATGCATATAATAAAATCTGATTGTTAAGTATGATTAGAATTGTAAATTATTTTTTTCTGCACAGTTTTATTATGTGACATGTCATCTTTCTGCTTTGGTCACTGTCTCTAGTATCTCCTGTTTTCAGAAAGAATTTAGAGGCAGTATTGTTAGTGGAAATAGAATTAGAAATTAATTCTGTTTTTATTGAGTAGCTATGTGAACTTAGACAAATTGTGTGATACCTTTAAGTGTTTCTTCTCATCTGAAGGAGTTGGACTAGATTTTTTTATAATTGTAGTAAAATATATATAACGTAAAATGTACCATTTTAATCATTTTTAAGTATATAGTTCTATAGCATTAAGAACATTCATATTGTTTCTCAATCATTACCACCATCCATTTCCAGTACTTTTTCATCTTCTCAAACTGAGACTTGTACTCAGTATACTAATTCAGCATTTACCTGGCCCCCTAGCCTCTGGCAACCACCATTCTACTTTCTATGAATTCGACTACTCTGGGTACCTTTTATAAGTGGAATTGTATAATATTGATAATGTTTTGACCTGTGAGTACCTTTCACAAAATGCGGAATCTCTTATACCCCTTCAGGAAATGAAAAAATTCTTTTGTCATTTTTGTGTAAGATAAAAAATATTTGAAGTAACAAATATTTTACTATGGATGAGTATGTTGTTAAAAGTTGTTTTAAAATTATATCTTTAATAATATTTATAATAGTCAAGATAAATTTTGACTTTCTAATCCTGAAAAGTGCCATATATTTTGTTTGTAGGAAAAAGCATGTTTTATTGTCAGAATTTTAAATGACTTAATTATATTTGACTCTATGGGATTGTGTACATGTATTTTGAAACTTAACTATACTGTATGAAAAAGACAAGAACAGCTTTCCAATTCAAGTCTTTGAATTGCTGCATTTTGTCCAATTAAAATAAAACAAAACAAAACAACATCTTTATTTCTGTAATTTGTGTTTGCTTGAAATAGTTAAATAAGGGGAAAAGCTTAGGGGTGCTTTTTTGTAAACACTTCTGGAAATAGCAAATTTCTATTGTGGGTAATCTTTAATCTCAGTAAATGAAAAACCAAAATGGATAATTATTATGTTTTAAATGGGTAAAACTTATGTTTTAACACAGTTTATTTATTGATCAAATACTTGGATGCTTAATGGATACTATTTTAGATATTGGGGATATAACAATAACACAAATTGTCCTCATAGAATTTTTTGGAGAAGGGGGAAATATAGGGCAGTCAAAGTTTATTATGCTTCCTGTCTTTAATTGTTATGAATATAAATTATCTAGTCCCAGAATAAAAATAATTTAAAAACTATATAAAGATCAAAAAACAATGACAACTACCTCTGTTACTTGGTTTATAAACTTGAGTTCTGAGGATGCATATGATCTTTACTAATTCTACCCACTCACCAGTTGAAGGACATTTGAGTTGTTTCTAGTTTGGAGCAATAATGAATGAAGCCACTCTAAACATTAGTAAACATTTGCGGACACGTGTTTTCATTTTTCTTGGGTAAACATGTCCAAGTGTGATTGATGAGTTACATGGCTAGTTTAGTTTTAACTTTATAAGAAACTGCTAAATTGCTAAATGTTAAATTTCCACTGGCATGGTATGAGACCTCCAGGTGTTGCACATCCTTAAACATTTGTTATAGTCAGTCTTTTTATTTTAGCCATTCTAATAGATGTGTACATAGTGATATTTCACTGTGATTTTAATTAGCATTTCCTTATTGATTAATCATGGTGAACTTCTTAATTTGCTCATTTGCCATCTATACATCTTTGGTGAAGTGTCTCTTCAAAACTTTTGCCCATTTGTAAGTTTTCTTTTTTTTTAATTAAGTTTTTTTAGTTCATAATATACTGTGGATACAGTGCTTTATCAGATGTGTTTTGCAAACTTTCAGTCTGTGGCTTGTTTTTTATTTTTTTGACAGTGTCTTTTGATGAGTAGTATTTAATTTTGATGATGTCAGTTTATTGGTTTTATCTTTTATAGATTATGCTGTTGATTTCTTATCTGAGAAATTGGTACCTAACATAAGGACAAAAAGATTTTCTCTTTCTCCTATGTTTTCTTCTGTGTTTCACATTTTACATTTACAAATATGATTTATTTTTAGTTTATTTTTGTATATAGTATGGGCATAAGTCAAGGTTTATTGTTCTTTGTATATGGATATTTAGTTGTTTAGCACTATTTATTGAAAAACAAAAGGAATGAAATGGAAACAGATTTTATGTGAACCTCCTGGACCACCTTTGAGAAAACCTAGTAGTTTGAAAATGAATATTTGGAAAACATTGTCACATTATGTATAGATGCAAATATTTGATTCAGTGTTTTTTGAGGGAGAGTTTGTGCTTTAAATGTAATGGAAGTGTGGATACTAGAGAAAGATGAGCTGTTATTATATTATGAAAGATCACATTTTAGGAATACTGTGTATTATAGTTTCTGAAACTATGTTGAGCCCCAAAAGTAAATTGTCTAGAACAGCATTTTTCAATCCTCAATTTGTGCTGCTTTGTAGGTCTAGACCCTTTTATTGTTGTTATTGTGTTACTGGAATTAAACAGAAAATATCAAAATGCATTAACACATAGTAAGAATCTGTAATGTTTTATGAGAATTTTGTTCCTGTTGAGTATGTATCTGTACTATGCTATGATGTAAAGTGTTTATATTATGGGGTACAAACAGTGTGAAAGCCACTTTTCTAGAATGATCAGGTTATACTTTTGATACAAAACAGTTAAAAAATAATTTTCCTTTTGATGTTCTAGGTGTGAGTTCTTAATACGCATGAAAGGACAGGAGTTTGTTGATGAAATTCAAGCCAGATATCCTCATCTTCTCGAACAGGTAAATACATTTTTATAATTGACAACGTTGAGTTCTAAATAATAATTACAAAAAATATTATTAGAAGTGATAGTTACATATGTTTTTTAATTATAGTTACAGGTTTCCTATTCCTTTAATTTTTATTTTTTTAACTACCTTGTTTGTTAAGGGCTTTAAAAAAAAGATTTTCTTTTGTTTTTAGTTTTTTAAATTTTATTTATTTATTTTTTCTTTATTGATTTTAGAGAGAGAGGAAGGGAGAGGAAGAAAGAGATATAAACATTGATGAGAGAGAACATTGATTGGCCACCTCCTGCATGCCCCCCACTGGGGATTGGGCCCACAACTTGGGCATGTGCCCTGACCAGGAATCAATCCAGTGACCTTTTGGTGCATGGGTCTCCGCTCAACCACTGAGCCATACTGGCCGGGCTTGTTTTTAGTTTTTTTTTTCAAATCACTCAACATGCTACTTTACAATTTGGGGTGAGGTTGGAGGAGGATCTTTAGTGTCTCCATCTTTTCCAGAAAAGAAAACAAAATAAATTTTGTCAGAATTTCGGTAGTACCACTGAGAGTGATCAGCTGAGATATGAGTTTCTAAAAGGAATGAGAAATCATTAATAACTTCTTACTACTTTCCTGAAACTAGAGAAATACTTGAGTTCTAATTTGGAAGTAGGTGAAATTTAAGGAAATTTTTATGATGATTAAGGTAAAACAAAGCAAAGTGAAGAATTTTTTAAAATATGTTTTTATTGATTTTAGAGAGGGAGAGAGAGAGAGACATCATTGTGATAGTGAAACATCGATGAGTTGCCCCCAGTGCCCCCTGACTGGGATCGAACCCGCAATCTGGGTGTGTGCCTGACCAGGAACCAAACCGACAAAATTTTGGTGCACAGGGTGACACTCTAACCAACTCAGTCACACAGGCCAGGGCAAGCAAAGTGAAATATTATGTACATTACCCAGTTTTCCAAGCGTATGTACATTACTTAAGGGAAACTTATCTTAATGATTCTTTGTGCAGGTTGTTTGAGATTTCTTATTTTACCTATTAATTTTTCTTCTGTTTCATAGCTGTTGTCAACTTCAGACACTCCTGGAGATGAAAATGCTGATCCACCAAGTATGTATAAAAATACTTCAAATATGGGATGGAATTTTTATAAGAATGTTAGGAATGTATGTAAACAGGATTTCTGAAGTCATAGGAAAAAGGACTGGAAGTTAACTAATAATAGTGTGTTTACTAAGATTCATGACATTGTTAGAGGATTCTGAGTTATACTAGTCTTTCTTAAACTATGGACATTCTAAGTGAGGAAGTAAGATACATGTAAAAGAAAAACAACCATAATAAATAGCTCAAAGAATACCAAGGAAATGTACAAATAATAAGCCCTCCAAGGAGAAAAACTCATTTGCTGTAAGCTAGCATATTTGAAAAGACCCACTTCACATACGATTTAGGAATTGGACTAAATGTTAGGTATGTGTCAGGTATATAGTGTTTTAGTGCTGCTGATTAGTACTTAATTTTAACCACATCTGGCATTTAGTTAATGTATATAATGTTCATGTTTTGGTGTACACAATAGTGAAGGTAATAGTTCCTGATTTCTGCACTAATCATGTCTAGAAAGGGGTGTTCTTTACTTGGCACACCATTTCAAAGGGGTACTGGTAGATTTGTAGCAGGATCAGAAAAAGGTGATTAAGATATATGAGTCCTAGAAACCATGGCTCAGGAGGATTATTGAGGATTTGGTTGGTAGTATTTGACTTGGCAAAGAGAAATAATTGCTTGGGTATATGATATCCATCTCTTGTGTAATAGAGCTAGAAAAAGTAAGACAGGCCCTGGCTGGTTTGGCTCATCGGTTAGAGCGTCGGCCTGTGGACCAGAGAGATATGGGTTCGGTTCCCGCTAAGGGCACGTACCTCGGTTGCAGTTTGTCCCCAGCCCCTGTTGGGGTTTTGTGGGTGGTGGGTGACCAGTCGATGTGTCTCTCCTACATCGATGCTTCTCTCTCTCTTCCCCTCTCTCTCCCTCCCGCTGCGTCTGAAGATAAATGCAAAAATATCCTCCGGTGAGGATAAAAAAAATTTAAGACAGTAGTACTGACTATTCTTACTTTAAATTTATAACCACAGCTTTCTAGTGTGCTGTCCTGCAATCCTGTTAGTTCCCTAAAAAAATTACTTCGCTAAACTTTTAAATGACTGTTTCACATTTTCTTCATAAGTTTCTAACACTGTTTCCTACCTTACTCTCAGCTCATAACCTGAGAGAATAAAAAGAAACAAAAAAGAACTCTTCTTCATCTTTTCACCAGCAAAACTACCAGTTTACATAATGTACCCATATACTCTGCTTTCTGTTTGTTTTTTGTTTTGTTTTGTTTTTATCTTTATTGTTGAATGTATTACAGATGTTCCTCATTTTTCCCCCATTGACCCCCTTCTCCCCACTCCCGCCCCCCTCCCACTTCCCTCCTGCCTTTTCCCACACTGTTGTCTGTGTCTATTGGTTATGCATATAAGTTCTTTGGTTTATTTCTTCCCACCCCCTAACCCCCTTCCCTTTAAGGTTTGTCAGTCTAGCAACCAATTTGTACTTCTTAATCCCTTCACCTTTTTCACCCATTCCCCCAACCCCCCTCCCATCTGGCAACCAACAAAATGTTCTCTGTATCTATGAGAATGTTTCTGTTCTGCGTGTTCATTTTGTTTGTAGATTCCATTGTTGATAGACATGTATTCATTGCCATTTTATTTGTTCATATATTTTATCTTTTTCTTCAAAAAGACCCTTCATTAATAACAGTTTGGTGGTGAAGAACTCCTTAAACTTTTTCTTGTCTGGGAAACTCTTTATATGGCCATCGATTCTAAATGACAGCTTTGTAGGATAGAGTAATCTTGGTTGTAGGTTCTTGCTTTTCATCACTCTGAATATTTCTTGCCACGCCCTTCTGGCCTGCAAAGTTTCTTTTGAGAAATCAGCTGACAGCCTTATAGGAACTCCCTTATAGGTAACTAACTTCTTTTCTCTCGCTGCTTTTAAGATTCTCTCTTTGTCTTGAACCTGTTGCATTTTGATGATGATGTGTCTTGGTGTGAGCCTTGTGGGCTTCATCTTGTTTGGGACTCTCTGTTCTTCCTGGACTTGTCTGTTTCCTTCACCAAGTTAGGGAAGTTTTCTGCCATTATTACTTCAAATAGGTTTTCGATTTCTTGTTCTCTCTCTTCTCCTTCTGGCACCCTCAAGATGTGAATGTTGGCACGCTTGAAGTTGTCCCAGAGGCTCCTTACACTCTCCTCATTTTTTTGGATTCTTTTTTCTTTTCGCTGTTCTGATTGGGTGTTTTTTGCTACTTCACATTCCAAATCTATGGTTTGCTTCTTGGCTTTACCTACTCTACTATTGAATCTGTGTAAATTATTCTTTATTTCAGTTAGTGCCTCCTTCATTTCTGACTGGTCCTTTTTTATGCTCTTGAGGCCCTCACTAAGTTCACTGAGCATCCTTATTAGCAGTATTTTGAACTCAGCATCTGTTAGGTTGCTTAGTTCTTTTCCTGGAGATTTTTTTCTGTTCTTTCATTTGGGACCTGTTTCTTTGTCTCCTCATTTTAGCTGCCTCCCTGTGTTTGTTTCTGTGTATTACTTAACGAGAGGTATAGGGCTATCTGAGACCAGATGCTGCTTGTTTGAAAGAATTTAGGAAAACCTGAAGCAGGATCCAAGACAGGCTAATCCTATGGTAAAGCAACTGGCAACAGCTTGGTGGGCCTGAAGGTTGGGTGGGGCGGGGATTCAGGGAATCACCAGGGTGGGGCTATCAGTGTGAGCCTGGTTGCTGGAGTCCCAGATAGGGTGGCTGTCTGCCGCCCCAGGGAAGGGCTCACCAAAGAAACAAAGGCCTCTGACAGCATGTCTGTCCCGGAGAAAGCCCCCTCTTCAGCCCTCGCTCCAGTGCCAAACAGCTCAGTTCTTCCGTGTATGTCTCTGGCACCCCTCAAGCTTCCTCCCTTCTAAGCTTAGAGGGATTGAGTCTGGTAAGTCCATGTGCGGGCCCTTTAACAGTTGCTGCCTAGGGCTCCAGCCACCTCTGCCTCCCTGAGCCTCAGTTCCTGCTGGTTTTTCCAGCCAGAAGTTATGGGGACTTCTGGCACTGGAACCCTGAGTGGAGCACCTGGTGTGGGACACCTGGTGTGGGACGGGGACCCCTTAGTCCTCAGAGAGGACCTTCCCAGCCGAGGTAGCCTCCTGATTTTTTTTTTTTTATCCTCACCGGAGGACATTTTTCCATTTTTTTGTTCAGGTAGAGTGGGAGGGAGAGAGGAACAGAGAGAGAGAGAGAGAAACATCGATGTGAAAGGGTTGTGCCACCCGCACAACCAACCAGGGCCGGGGACAAACTGCAACCGAGGTACATGCCCTTAGTGGGAACCGAACCCGGGTCTCTCAGGACCGCAGGCCGACACTCTAACTGCTGAGTCAAACCGGCCAGGGCCTGATTTTTATCCGCCACACGTGGGTGTGGGACCAGCCCCTCCGCCTCTGCCCCTCCTACAAGTCTCGATGTGACTGCTTCTTTAATTCCGTAGTTGTAAAACTTCCATTCAGCTCTATGTCAGGCGGTTCTGAATGATGGTTGTTCTGTAGTTTAGTTGTAACTGTGATGTGGTTGTGGGAGGACGCTATACCGCGTTTACCTATGCCGCCATCTTGACTAGAAGTCTGTTTTGTTTTTTAATAAAGGATGCACTATCCTTTCCCTTTTCCAAGCCCAGCTCTTCCACTTTGTCTCTTTCCTTTGAAACTCATCCCCTACAACCAATTTAAGAATTTTGCTTTGACAAGAATCCACTCTTTCTCACATCAATTTTTCTGTCTCTCCTGAATCATTTATTTCAGCATACAAACATAATATACTATTGCCAGTCCTAAGAAAATCTTTCCTTGAACTTATTTCCCCTTCGAGCTATTGTCTCATTTCTCTACTTCCCATTACAACAAAATGCCTAGAATGATTTTATCCGTGCTTTCTTCCTCACCTTTCATTCTTTCTTTAATTTGTTCTACTAAACACTATTTTTGTCAAGGTCATCAAAAACCACCATATTAGCATGTCTACTACTTGATCTGTTGTTTGCATTTGGAGCACTTGGGTGCTTTAACCCCCCGCCCTCACCCCCAGCTTTATTGAGATAGAATTGACATTCAACATTGTGTAAGTTTAATATGTACACCATCATTATTTGATACACATACTGCAAAATGATTACCACATTAAGGTTAGTTAACAATCTGTCACCTCACATAATTAAATTTCTTTTTTTGTGGTGAGAGCATTTAAGATTTACTCTTAGTAGCTTTTAAGTACTTAAGTTTTGTTAGCTATAGTCACCATGCTGTATTATTAGATCTACAAAGTTTATTCATCTTATAAGGTACACCCATGTTGTCACAAATGGTAGGATTTCCTTCATTTTTATGGATAAATACTATTCTGTGTGTGTGTGTGTGTGTGTGTGTGTGTGTGTGTGTGTGTGTGTGTATAGCCACATTTTCTTTATTCACCTGGTGATGGACACTTAAATGTTGTTTCTATGTGTTGGATATTGGGAATTATGCTGCAGTGAACATGGCAGTGCATGTATCTCTTCAAGATTAGTAATTTATTTTTCTTCAAATATATACACAGAAATGGGATTGTTGGATCATATGGTAGCTCTATTTTTAATTTTTTTGAGAAACCACAATATTCTCTTCCATATGGCTGTACCTATTTACATTCCCAAATTTACACAGGGGTTCCATTTACTTCACAGTGTGGCCAACACTTATCTCTGGTCTTTTTTTTTTTGGTACTAACCATTCTAACAGTTGTGAGATGATACCTCATTGTTTTTTTTATTTGTGTTTTCTATTGAATAGTGATGTTGAGCATCTTTTCATGTACCTATTGACCATTCATATATCTTCTTTGGAAAAATGTCTCTTCAGGTCCTCTGCCCATTTTTTAAATTTTTGTTGTTGTTGTTGTTGTTATTGAGTTTTATGGGTTCCTTATATATTTTGGATATTAATCTCTTTTCTCAGTCCATGGGACGACCC